TTCTTCTTCCTTTTTTTTTTTTTAATATCTTTTTTATGGATAACCGAACTTTCATTGTAAAGCTCACAAAAGAATGTATTTTTTTCTCATATGACTTAATTGATTGTTGAATATAGTTTCCTGGTTGCTTGACTACCTCTAAATAGTTGATGTGTCAGAAAATCTTATAGAAGTTTATGAGTCTTTTTGGTGGTTGATTGTGCAATCCAATAAGTGGCTATATATCTTATGGCTATGGCCAGTTATTTTGTTAAATTTAATTGACGTAATCTGACTTGATGAATTAAACTACTGGTTATGCGTTATGTCATTTTGAGTTTACTCTTTTTCTTCTTCTGTTTTTTGTATGTTTTCTTTTTGTCCACTTCTTCCTTTTGAGAGGGGGCTCATTGAGATTAACATAGTTGGTGCTACATCCTCCCTCCTGCTTTCTCAGTTCATTCGCCTAACCCCCTTTTTTTTTTTTAAATCCTTTATATTCGCAGGCAGATGATGATTGTTGCAATTCGTGTGAGGATGTTCGTGAGGCTTATCGAAAGAAAGGTTGGGCTGTGTCAAACCCAGATTTGATTGACCAGGTTTGTCAGGATGAGGGCTCCAATTTATCCATACAATTTTGAAGTTGCTTCCAAGTTTGTTCAAGTATCTGGCGTTAATTATACATATGTATTCATGCCCCCTCATTCGTTTATTGCATGGCCATGATGTTTAAATTTTCTTAGCGAGACATTTTTATTTCAGAAGTTGAACTTTATTAAAATATAAATATCTTATGCATAGCTTCTTCACCAATTGACATGGGTGAGATCTTCCATCCATTGTTGGAAGATGGATGAACTTTTGACCTCTGCGGCTAGAGTGATGTTTTTCCGCCCTGCATTATGTGATATAATTTCTCGAGATACACGAGAACTTTTGCATATGATCTTGAAAGCATAATAATCCCATAGTTGCCCTTAATTTAAAGATTATTTGACAACGTCCATAGCTTGAGACCTATTTTTGCTAGACAATATTGAATTGAGATTTCATTGAACAATAGCATACCCCATCCTTTTTATATACAATCCAGTAGTCTTAGGCAACCTTTGAGATTTTCTTTTTATTAAATATTTTGTATGACACTATACTTCTTTTTTTTTTCTTTTTTTTTTAAATGGATTGAGTACCATGAACATTACTTTTCCTTCATCTATTATGTGGCATTCGTTGTATGAAAAGAGCATCAATTCAAGAATATCATTTTTCTTGGGTTATCTTGTTGACTTTGAATTTTCTCGTACTGCCATCCGGTGTAATAATATCAGTAAGATATGCCTAGTACCGTAGGGATTTCAGTGTTCTGTTAATAGGATGATTTTAAGGCTGATCTTATCTTATTCACTATCATAATTTTGTAAATATTTATGATGTTCAGTGCAAAAGAGAAGGGTTTCTCCAAAGGATCAAGGATGAGGATGGTGAAGGATGCAATATATATGGATTTTTGGAGGTTAATAAGGTTGCCGGAAATTTTCACTTTGCACCTGGGAAAAGCTTTCAACAGTCGAATGTTCATGTACATGATGTGTTGGCATTCCAAAAGGACAGCTTCAATGTAAGAAACATTTTAAACTTGGTCTGTCATTTTATAAAAAAAACAACCTATGCCTAAGATTGAGTTGGGGTTCTTAGATTATCAGTCTAATTTAAGTACATTTTCTGACTCAGATAAGTCACAAGATTAATAGATTATCATTTGGAGAATATTTCCCTGGCGTGGTGAATCCTCTGGATAGGTAGGCTTTCACTTCTTTTCTTGGAGCTCCTAGTTACGTTGAGATCTCCTTGTACTATGACCTTATTTGCATTTATCTTTGATATTTTAATTTTTGAATTGTGAAGCGTGCAATGGATGCAAGAAACACCAAGTGCAACATACCAATATTTTATCAAGGTTAGTTTTTGGATTATTTTGAGAATAAACTTGGATGGTTTTGCTTTTGGTTTCTCAAAAAGGCCTTGTACCAATGGAGATGGTATAAACTCATAATGAGCCCTTTAATTAGTCGATGTAGGACTCCTCTTCCAACCATCCTCAACAATCCTCCCCTTGAACAAAGTACACCATAGAGCCTCCTTTGAGGCCTATGGAGCCCTCGAACAAAGTACACTCTTTATTCGACACGTGAGTCACTTTTGACTACACCTTCAAGGCTTACAACTTCTTTGTTCAACATTTGAGGATTCTATTGACATAGCTAAGTTAAAGGGCTTGGCTCTGATACCATGTTAGGAATCATGACTCTCTACAATGGTATGATATTGTCCACTTTGAGCCTAAGCTCTCATGGTTTTGCTTTTGGTTTCCCCAAAAGGCCTCATACCAATTGTGATAGTGTTCCTTACTTATAAACCCATGATCAACCCCTTAATTAGCCGATGTGTGACTCCTCTCCCAACAATTCTCAACATTATTGTAATGAAGATATATCATATATCACATCATTCCTAGTATATTAGCTGGAGCAAGCCGGGTAGAGTTTCATTTGCTGTCTTGTTTTTGCAGGTTGTACCAACTGTTTACAAGGACGTTAGCGGGAATACCATCCAGTCAAATCAGGTTGATATTAGTAAACTCTGAAATCTGATTAATTGTAATTGTTACCACATATATGCTTCATATATTTGGGCAACGCCATAAAGATGAGAGCCATGTATTGTTGCAGTTCTCTGTCACAGAACATGTAAGGACTGCAGAAGTTGGACGGCTTCAGTCACTTCCTGCAGTTTTCTTCTTCTATGACCTTTCTCCCATCAAGGTTGGTTTTTCTTACATGTTCAATTTGTGATGAAATGGAAGATTAACTTTTCGTTACTCTTATAGCTGTTCTGTTTTGTATGTTATAGGTCACATTCACCGAGGAGCACGTGTCATTCCTCCACTTCCTGACAAATGTATGCGCTATAGTTGGAGGTACTTAACAAACTCCCATCCTCTCGAATTGCTTTACTTCATTTATTTGGTACCGACCTCGTTACATCTTTATATTGAATCAATGGTAGGTAGTACATTGCCATTTCCCTTGGTAAAGGATACGAAATAACATCATTATGTTTCATAATTAAGTCGGGCATAGTTTTCATTCTTCTTAGCTAGCTTAACTATGCCATTTCCCTTGGTAAAGGATACGAAATAACATCATTATGTTTCGTAATTAAGTTGGGCATAGTTTTCATTCTTCTTAGCTAGCTTAACTATGCCTTAAACATATGAGTTTCTTTTGTTCTCGAAGGGAAGAATGAACTTGTTTATGCTTATTGAGTGGTATGACTATGACTAACCAAGGAAAATGCTTTCATGGTGGTTCGATCCAGGCGTGTTCACGGTCTCAGGAATATTAGATTCATTCATATATCATGGTCAGAAGGTGATCAAGAAAAAGATGGAGCTTGGTAAGTTCAGCTGATAATTGAGCTCGATCTATTTGAGGTGTCGATGCTGCTTATGAAGCCCGGCAGCAAATTACAACTGTGAGATGATCAAATCAAGAGAAGAATGAAATGGTTCGATGGCTGTATTCAATTATGGATGAAGTTTGTTGCCATGATTTTAGTGGGAGTTAGAAAGGAAGGAGCTTAGCTTAGCTCTCCCAGCTCTGTTTCATATTTAAAAGAGAAAAACCACTTGTTTACAGTTTAACGAGTCCTTTTAACTGTTGTCGTAAATGTGAATATCCCACATGAAGAGGTAAAAGACAGGATTCTCATCATCGCTTAGATTCCCCTCACCCCCCACCATTGGATTTCTTTTTGTCATAGGTTTGACTTTTGACTTTTGACTTTTGACTTTATGATTCATAAATTTTAATGGGTACACTCTATATTCTCATAATATTGCATAATTCAGTAAATAAATATATCTTTGGATGTTTAATTAAAAGGAAGAAAGGGATAGTTTAGTTTGGGTTCATACCAACCACTTTTGGTGCCAAATTAATTCCCTTTATTCCTTTTCTTCAACTTCAAGTTTAGTAGTGGTGAGTCGGTGACATCCTACGTGGCCACTACTTTTATGTATAATTTTATATATAAACAATTAATTTGTTCTTGTTTATTTATATAATTGTTCAAATAAAATATTAAACTTGGTTTAGAATAACTAGGCTCAATCAATTATTTTAATCTGAAATTCGAATATACCTTAAATTAATTTTATTTTAAAGTCGTTGATCAATTTTTTTTATAATGGAAATGCATGAATCAAATAGATGCAAAATGAATTTAATTAAATTTGAGTCTTTTTGTATACGCTTGTCTTTCTCTTTTTCTTTACTTATTTAATAGTATTCTTTTACCATTTTGGTGGTAACTCACTTCGTTCAATCTTACTCTTGCTGTGATTCTGCGGGTTCGAAAAGTCTCTTCCCTGTTCGCCTATAGTCTTTGCGAGCATGAAACCTGTGATTTTGTGGGTTCGGAAAGTCTCTTCCTTGTTCGCCTATATTTGTGAGCATGAAATCTGTGATTTTGCGGGTTCGAAAAGTCTCTTCCCTATTCGCCTATAGTCTTTGTGAGCATGAAACCTGTGATTTTGCGGGTTCGGAAAATCTCTTCCTTGTTCGCCTATAGTCTTTGTGAGCATGAAACCGCGCTTTACTGTGATTGATGAATGACATTTATCCCAGACTTTTGGAGAAAAATAATTTTATTTATGACCTATATAAATAATTTAAAATAGATCACAGAAAAATAATTTTATTTGTGAGCTATATATAAATAATTTTAAATAGATCAAATAAAATTCCTTAAATATTACTTAAAAAGTTTCAATAATATTCTTAAATTTATTTTTAAAAAAAATGAAAATCAGTGGTCAATAATATCCTTGAATTTATTTTAAAAAATAAACTAAAAAATACATTTATCATTATCTTTCAATAATATTTATGTTTGAACATATTATCATAATATTCAGTTAATATTTAAGAGATTAAAATGAAAATCTAGAGAAGTACTAATTGAATAACGCAAACATAATATATTATTATTACATGGAGAAAATTACATAAATGTAAATAATAATAACTTGTACGTCTCTCCCGCCGGCCGAACAGCCAAAAAAAAGTTGGCCGCCGGCGATGGCTGTGCCGGAGATTTCACTTCCTATTAACAATTTCTACTTGTTAAGAACACCAAAATATATATAACTTCTAAACTCCCTACAAAACACTGAACAGACTGATTCTGCTAACTGCTAAAACTTAGTCGCAGAATCTCCTAAAAGACGACGACTCCTAATCAAATGTACTGAAATTATCGTTATCAAGATGTGAAGATCGAAGCCCAATCGATTTCCGACGGATATTTCTGCAGCATACTGCTTTCCGACGGCGATTCCCACGGCGAATCCATCGGATCGGGGAACGTCAGATCTGACAAAGGCGAAGACCCTGCCGACTCGTCGCTCTCGGCCGAAACCGGCGACGAGGAGTTCTCCGCCTTGCAACAGATCTCCGATCCGCTCGATCTGGCATCCTCTGTTTTCAGATTCTCGGGATCAATAACCGTCGGCGTCTCACACTCTGATTCGACTGTTGAAGAACTCGATGATTTCGATTTCTTCGATGAGGCTCCGTTTGATTTCCCCTGTTTCTGCGACTCCGCCAAGGTTTGGCAGATGGCTTCAAGCTTCGCGTCGACGGCGGAGTGGAGCGGCTTGTACTCGCCGAAATCACCGCCGACGGAGGAGCCATGGTGCTTGAGATGAGGGAAATTGAGCCTAGCAAAGTCGCCTCGAAGCTTGTAAGCGGCTTTATCGTAGGCTAAAGCGGCTTCTTCGGCGGTATCGAAGGTGCCGAGCCATAGCCGAGTTCGGTTCCTCGGTAGACGGATCTCGGCCACCCATTTTCCCCAATGCCTTTGCCTTACGCCTCGATAAAGCTTCGTCGATTTCAGTGGAGATCCAACTTGCTTCATGGAAATCCCCTTCGGTGCTAACAAATTCCCGCCGTTCCTCTGATTTCTCGCTACCTGGTTGTTAATCTGTCCCCAAACTGGCGGGATCAGTGTCTGGAGAGCAAACTGAGATTGGATCTGTTGGATCTGAAAGGGCGTCAAGTAATTAAGTCCGATGGAGGCTGATTGCTCTAATCCATGGAAATCTTGACCGGAAAACAAATGGATCATCGGAGGAGAACAATCGGAGGAGTAAGAAGTGGATTCTGTTTGGATCGAAGATGAAAAAGAGAAATCGGGAATAGAAAATGAAGAAGAAGAGGAAGCAGCTTTCATAAAAGGCTCAAGCGCTTCCATTAATTCACCACCAACTGGATCTGACTGTAAATCTCTGCATCCATACAAATCCATCAAAGCAGCCATAACTTCTCTACCAAATTCAAAACTAACAAGAAGAACACGATGAAATCAACAAGTATTTCTACGCAGAATAGGGTTTATAATAATAACCAACCCTTCAAACTCCAAGAGGGATAAAAAACAACCCTCGGAAGTCGATCTGGAAAACAAAATGAAGCGAAAAAACAGATTTACAAACAGATCTACGGAAAAATTTGTCCAAAAATTTAAAAAAAAAACTGGATCTCGATTCTGGAAAACACCTGCGCTTTCGATAAACCTTTTTTCTCAAGTTTGCTTTCGGATCTTTCTAAAACAAACTCAAAAATCAGAAACTGAAAGACAGATGATTAACAGAAAGGGATTCAGAGAAGCGGGGATTACAGAGGGGGGGATTGAAGAAGAAGAAAAAGATCGAAAACAAGAACACAGTCAGAGAAATTTCTCTCGAATTTCGCTCGGTCTCACTCTGATTCACTATCTCAGGCAACCTTGGGTTTTATAAGAGTCCGGCCCCAAAATTACTTCTCTTAATTACTTTCTTAATCTCAATTAACCACTCTAATTAGCTTCATTTTCTTTTTTTATTATTTTAATAAACTCCTTGTCCCTTCTCTTAGTCTTATCTACCCCTCACTCTGTGTATGACGTCAATCTACTGTATCCAAGGCACCGCCGCCAATCAAAAAATGACACGATGCCAATTACAGACACGTGTCCTTCGTGTTCACTGGCAGGTGTCGGTTTCTACGTTGTGGGTCCAGCCTCATTTTGCCATGTCATTTTTAATTTACTAAATCATAAATATAATTCACGAAAGTTAGTTTATAAATTATTATTTATTTATAAATTTTGATAAAAAAATTAAATAATAAAAGTTAGAATTTAAAGTATAAAGACTAAAATAATATTTAAATCATTTCTTTTAATAAAATGAACAGTTAAATGTATTATTTTATTTAATTATTTCTATAAGTTCAATAATGATTCATTAATTAAACTAATCATCTATTAATTACGTGTCAAACAAGTTCAAATTTTTTTACCATAAATTTTAAATTTTCAAATATTAAATTGTATATCAAATTGACCTAACATTTCGAATTAATTTATTAAAAATTTGAAATAATCCTCAATTTTATATGTTATCTGATAATTTAATATTTATCGTCACTTAAATTTTTTAAAACGCTAATCCAACTGCGACAAATACTTTATATTATAAAAAAAAATAAGGACAAATTAATCAATTATGATATGATTTAATTACTTTAGTTAGTATGAATAAATTTTATTTTTAGATTGATTTAATTTTAAAAAATAAATAAATGAATAAATATAATGCAATAAACCTTATCTGTAAGTGTGTGTGGTGATGGTGAAGTGATTGGACGGCTTCCTGATATCATAAATGATTGTACCAAAACTCTTTACTTCGCTTTGACTTTTTTGCCCTTTAATTAATATTATTTTTTATTATTTTTTATTTACCAATTGTTTAAAAGGGTGGGCTTAGTCCATAATATTTTATTTATTGGTGGGGTTTTTTATTACTTTAATTTTATGATGAGGACATTTTTGGTAATATATATATTATATTATGGGTTGTCATGGTGAGGAAATCGAACGGTTGATGTAATGGGGGTTCACGAGACAATGATGCGGACGCAGGCAGGATATAAAACGTCGTTAACTAGGGGTAGTTGAGTTGACCTTGTAGTTGGGTTACGTGACGGCGTGGAGTTGGAATCGGAGTTCGGAAGGAAAGTGATAGACAAAGTCATGTGCGGCGGAGACAACCGCCTCAATTTCGGCGCCGGATTCTCCCATGGAGTTGAGTGGTTTTATGCTCTCAATCATTCCCACGCGCTTTCTTGGCGATGTATTACCACAAGCCAATCATGTTTTCACGTGTCTCCAACACAGAGTCTAGGCGCGTGAACTAGGAATGAAAAAGATGGAGAGGAGAGAGAAGTGTGGTTAAGTTTGTTGACCCAGCACGCAGCCAACAGGTCTTGTTTTAAGGAAATAAAATTAACTAATTATTAATATATATATATATATATATATATATATATATTTTTTTTTTTTTTTTATGTATTATGTATTCTTATTTTATATTATTAAACTATATGATATTACAAAATAAGAATTTATACAAAAAAAAAAAAACATAAAACATAAAACATATTCACAAATAATTATAATTCGTTTTATATTTATAAATATATTATATCAAACGATTTTTTAACGACCAATCATATATTTGAAATTATTAAATATGATTTTATAATTAATTTTGTGAGTTGACTTTGCAATAAAAAAACACTCATAAACTTAGATTAGACTTTTCGACAAATAATTTAGTAATAAGCTTTCTTAAATTTTAATAGCGAGATCGAGCTGGAAAAAATATTAGTTCTCCACGTGCTAAACTCATCCCCTTGAATACCGTCAATCCGTTAAATACCTAGCTTCTCATTAAAAAAAAAAACCAAAACAAAACCCTTCAAAATTACGTTTATCGTTCATTTGGCAATAAAAAAATCAATAAAATTTTGATCTAAGTTTTTTCAGTGGTGATGTATTTGCCAAATCAAACAAAATTACGCCAGTTGTCCCGTGCACGTATCACAAATTTAAGAAATTCACTCAAGAAAACAAATAATTTAGAATCTTAGTTTAATTATTTCTTAAAATAATCTATATATTCACACCCAACCAAACTAAAAAAAAAATTTTAAAAAAAAATTAAAAGAGTTTTTTTATGATACTATAAACGAAAATAAAATAAACACAAAATTACAAAAGTTGGTGCAAGAAATAATAATATATTTGGACACCTTACCTTAATCAACCCGCCATTATATTGTCTTTTCATGATAACCAAGAGTCTAAAATTCTTCTAAACAGCATAACAGTCTAGCATACAATTTAATGACACGTGCAAATCCACGGACATGTGTCAACATACAACATACAATGCGTAACCATATATATATATATATATGGTTGTCGTCTACTCACTTGTAGTTTATATCGTTACTTTATTCTTGTTTTCATCGTATTTATTCGTTCATATTTTAAAAAATATTTATCCTAAGTGTGACTGAGGCTCGAGCATACGTCGATAATGTCTGTGAACTCCAAATTTCACAAGACTGACTTGTTCGTTAAGTTAGAACAAGTGTTGCATAGTCACCGTCCACTATCATAAAAGTGCAATTGCAACAAGTAATATATATATATATATATATATATATATATATATATATATATATATATATATATA